ACAAAGTTCATCTTGTTCGATATGGATGAAAATTTTTGTTACTGTTTTGTCATCCTGTCTGATCTGAATATTTATTCTTCCTTTTTAAAGTTATAAATTTTTTTTATGGTTGATGGTCTAATTTTGCCCCACAAATTTTAGGAAAATGATACTCTTAGTGAATGAAAATAGTGAAAAAAATATAGTGACTGGTGTGGAATAATCATAACCCCTAGTTTTTTGCTACTTTCCCGTTGAAGTTTTATTTTCTCCTAAAATTATATCTTTACCCTTGATTAATAAATAGACATGTTTAGCAAGTGGATGGTGTATTTTTCTTTTCATTTGTCACTATATATTTTCACTGTATTTAGTCACTGGATGTATCATTTCTGCAAATTTTAAAATGTAGAGCTCATTAATCGATATTATTGCTTTCTAGTTTTTATGGAAAATCTTATCCAAAAGACTAAAAATGAAGCGAGAATTGAATGACAGTCTAGTGTGATTAGGTTGTTGTCTTTCCTGATGATAGACTAGTGTTCAATTTCTACCAGAGATTGTAAGGGGAATTTTACCCACATTTAAGTGAGGTTCACGGGATAGATTTTTAAAAAAAAAACTAAAAATGAAGCGCTATCTTCCCTTTGCTTTAACTGCATTGGCTTTAGTTTCATATAGGAATATATAACTCTTTTTTTTGTTTATGGCGCAAGGATTGTCCAGAAAATAATAGTAATCATCTGTATGGAAAATGTTTCTTTTCGATAAATCTTAAACGCTGCATGTAATGTAGGAGTGTATCTTTATCATTCACAAAATTGGGAAATATATTTGACAGGTATATATTGACTTTAAATTTTGAGGGAAAAAAAAAAGGCAATAAAGCTATTCTCTTTTTTCCACTAACAATGATGCAAGTACGCCATATCGAAACTTATTGTATTTAGAAAGATGACTGTCCTTAAATTTCAAAAGAATCGTCAACTTAACCTAACAATAGGATTTCTTTTCAATAAATTAGTGTAGCAAACTATTTCGATATGAGAAATAAAAAGAAAATACATATCTTCCCTCCCACCTAAAATTATTATTCACTTGAATTTTCATTTTTAGGTGAAATGATTGTCCAATTTTAATTTTCACTATAATCTTCCAGTTTAGATTTTTACTTGCTTTCTTTTCTTTCATTTGTTGGGGGCTGGGAATGAGTGTTGCATTTTTATCACTCTCCAAAATATAAGGGAGTTTCAATGTGTTGTCTGGCTGCAAATTTTTTTTTTTTTGGTTTCTCAAGGTATCATTCCTGCCGATACCGAGAGAACTAATCCCGTTAATAACTAGAGAACTAGTCTTACATCCTTACGGTAAGCACACTAAGCAGTAGAGAATTGGTCAAATAGTTTGCATCATTCACATGTGTGGAAATCGAACCCTTAACCTCATATTTAAGGGACGAAGTGCTGAACCACTACGCCAACCATATTAGTTTGTCTGGATGCAAATTTCACTATCGCTAACTACAGAAATGCAGCATTCATATCATATTCCCTGAGATTTAAAATAAATACATAAAGGGGTGATGATTTGGAGATTCAAATCCCAAATGCATCATTTCTGTGATATGTGTAACTCACTTTACAGGTGGGCAAAAAGGATGAATACTTTTTACACACACAAAATATATTCTCTTCCTATGGAGAAAAAAAAAGGAAAAGAGGAGATAGATTTGGGGAAGTGAACCACAGGCACAGCATAAATGTTGGGGTTGGTTAAGGTTCTTATTCTACAATCATTTGAGCATTTTATGCCTACTATTCATAAGAACACCCAAATAAAAACAAAAACACACGCACAAAAAGTACAGAATTAAAGAAAGGAAACGAGTTCTTCGATAGTAATATATAATTAATTTATTCTTCGACTTGGGGTAAAGTTTGTGGGTTAGGGAAAAAATCCTATCAAAGTTTCTTGCAAAGATTAACACTTGCTTGGCCAAAGTGGTAAGGTACTTTGGTTTCCATAAGCGAGATCTCAAGTTCGAGTCTCGTGAATGAAAAAAACAATGTTGGGAGAGTTTTTCCTCCGAAAGAAAACTGATCCGACTCGGTACGAATTAGTCTGAGTGTAATACACTTAAGACTCTGTGCGCAGTATGAAAAAAAAATTGCTTCCACAGTATCTAATATTTGTGTTTTGAGAATTGATCAAGTTTAATTTTGTCCTACCTTACTACACCACATATAGTTGGGTTTTTGTTTTTTTGAAAAGCTAGACCACATGGTTAAAATACACTGACTCAGGCTCTACATAGTTTATGTAAAACTCTGTTAAAAAAAAGTTTGTAACTTGACATTTTTTCTATATATAATTGATAAATAAAAAGTTGAATCACTATATATTATGAGATTAATGATATATGTAGGAAAAATTTGTAAGTAATGAATCATAACCTTCCATAATTACACTTAATCCTTAGGGGTTTATTGGGGATAGTAAAACTTCAGTCACATTATTAACTGTAAAATTTCACTATATCCATCACTATTCTCATTTTATAATTATGGTTTACAAACTTTGTTATTGAAGGTGTCTATATTTACCCTTCCATTAAATTTGATAATGAAACTGCATCTATACCCTTAGGTTTTCCATCGCTAGATATAAGAGTTCCCATTATAAATCCTAAATTAAACAATGTAGATCACACTAAAACAATGGAAAAAAGAAAAAGAAGAAGAAATGTTTCTATAGGCCTATTACATGAAATTCCCGGAGAATGTGATAAGTGATAGTATTCCCTTTTTATTTATGCTATAATATTTGATACTTTTCACATCTCATAATAGTTATTCCCTTCACTTCAAAATAAATCACTTCAGGCTTTATAGGTATATAATTATTCAGTAATTAATTTGTGTGTCAAATTAATTTGTATGTGTACTCCCTTCATTCCTAAATAGATGTCGTTAGAGGAAAAACCAAATATTCAAAAATAGATATCATTCTCACAAATCGAGACATGTTTTGTCGATTTTTTTCAGTAGTACCCTTACATTGGAAATTGTAGTAATGTTTAATGTAGAATTGTATTAGAACTAAATGTTATTGGGACTACAATTGTATTAAGAGTAAATGAGGGTATTATAATATTTTAACAAGATAATTATTGTCTCCTTAAACTGTGTGAAATCTCCCTCAACAACATCTATTTGTGAAGAGAGTACTACTCTTCATTAAATATATAAGAATTATAAACAACAATAAATGAGTAATAATTGACATCATTCATTGAGAGTAAAGCCGAAAAGTTAGGAATTACATATCTTGAAATTCTAAAATAATTTTAAAATATTTCTTGATACCTAAAACGACTTGCACTTTAAAATTGAGGGGATGTATAATAAACTAGACATATTATTTGCTCGCTAAAAATTTGATTGGTTTGTCTTGTTATTTAACTTGAGGAAGAAAAGAAAATAGAGGGAAAAATCTACTTACGTGGTACAACCACTAGTAGTTTTCCACCTAATAGAGGAGATCCGTTGGAAATACTGTAAAATTCAAGAGTATTAATACTAAGAATATAGATAATTTTTGGAGGTAATTATTAAAATTTACAAAATAATTGAAATTGGCTCAGAAAATAACACTAACGATCACAACCGATGTTATTCCGTCTTACTCTAATACTGGTTCACACTAAAATTTTAGAATGGGAGGGGATACTATCAATATATATTTGACAATGATGAATTGACAATAAATTCAGACAAATGGGTTGGAGGGTTGGGATGGGTAGGGGATTAAAATGGGGGATGATTATTACGAGTAGGTCGAGAGATTGATTCTCGTTAGATCAGCGAATTTTTTAAAAATAAAAAATAAAAATAAAAATAAATTCAGACAAATAAAAAGTTTGTTACGCATACCTCACGCCTTCATGTGAACCGTTTAGACTTAAAAAACATGGTTATTCCGCTGTCTACAAAATAATTTTGGGACGGTAAAAGTGAAAAAAAAAATGGTCATAATTTATGAGTTGATTATATTAGAATAAGATAGTTTTAATTTTTGTAAATCTATAACGTAAAGATTATGAGTATAACAGGTAACGGATTGCTGTTTTCTAGAGTTTTTATCGTATGTGCATTCGAAGTATTCGAACGGAAAAGTGCTACAATAACGGCTTTGTTTTTCCAATGATTCTCAAGCCTTAAGAAAAGGCAATACTAACATGTAACGTCGATGTCTTTTGGCCGGTAACTGTTAAAGAATCCCACTTGAAAAAACTCGTGTTTTGACGAGTCAATCAACGTTGAACGGTCGTTTTTTTTCCCCCAATTCAATTCCGTAACGTTGCTATTATGAACTATATTTTTTTTTTCTCGTCTCAACTTTTAAACTTTGATGAGGAGTTACAAATTGATATTGTACTTCATCCGTATTAAAATGTTGTCCAGTTTGTAATTTCTTTTGTAATATACATTATACTGAAATTAAAATTAAAACTTAATAATAATTTTGAGACACAATGAATAATTGTTATTGGATGACGATCTTTTTGCATTCGTCACCAATTGGTTACGGATTTGAAATGAGAGAGTGATGATTTGTAAAATTCAAGAATAAGACTGCTCCCAAATATCTATCCCATACTACTTAGTATTACGAAATGGAGACGTTTGACACCGAAATATGAGTATGATTATGATTGTTTGTAAATTGTACATGTAACGAGTTGCATCAACTTTCTCCTAAATGCAAAGGTAATAAGAGTTATTATTTAATTTGCGCTGAATAAATTTTTAACCAGATTTTAACAACAAAATCTACGAAAATCATTCAAGAATATTTTAGTTTAACAAAGTAGACTATTATTTTAAGACGGAGAAGGTATGTTTCAGTATGACTAATGGCATTAAGAAAGCATCATCGACCTTTTACACGAATATTCTTAGCTTCAAACTCATTATGCCATCCAAAATAATGCCAAATTCATAATGGCTTTGAATGCGATAGGAATGTTTAGCCATCTACACATAGTTAAAGGGGGGGGAATTTCGCAATTCACTCTGCATCCAATTCAAATGGCTTAGTGAGGAGGAATAAAGATTTTGGAAACGAAAAGAAGCAAAATCACTGTCCACCATCCTACTCATTCATCCCCACTCTACTAGTTTCTGCATACATAAAAACACAGAACAGAACCTTATGTTTTCCTTTCACTTTAGGCTGTTGTTGCACATTAAATTGTGCTCTGGCAGCCTCCTCTATGTTTTTAATTAAATTAGGCAATTAATATCAAAACCAAAACTTCCTTTTTTATGGTCATAAAGACAAGAAAGAAAACTGCACCAACCAAATGACATCATAAATAATTGTCATCACCCCTTTTTTTGAAGTGCCTCAAATCAATTGAAACAGTAACCAAAGCAAATAATGAGCAAATCAAAATCCAACCAGCAAATTTCAGCCAAAAAAACTAGCAGCAAAAGCAGGTCTTTAAATGAACATAATAATATATAATAAGTTTTTTTTTGTTTTTTGTCACTTTCCCCCTACCACATTTCCCTGGTTAACTGCTTCTACTACTACTATTCTACTACTAGAGAATTCATCACCAAAAGTAACCCCTACTACTGATACTAAATTAAACAGACTACAAATTTACCATACTTGGTAAAACAAACCAATAGTAATTTAGAGTAATTGACATATTTCTTGATGATGTCGATGCTGACGGTGACGTTGATGATGATCTCCCATATGAAGCTTTCCCAAAATCATGGTTGAGATCCACCAGACAAAATGTTCAAGAAAGCCTAGGAACAGCCCTGCAAACCAGGGGAGTTTTCATCTCCATTGACATCTTCAGGCATTCAGACAAGTCCACAATGTTGTTGTCGCCGTCATCACAAGGGATCCACTTGAAGTTCTGCAACAACTGAGCTAACCAGAGCTGGACAGTGGCAAGTCCAAGTGCCTTGCCTGGGCAAACTCTCCTCCCTGAACCAAATGGAGCCAGCCTCAGATCGGACCCCATAATGTGAACATCCTGCTCAATGAACCTCTCAGGCATGAACTTCTCAGGTTCAGACCAGACATTTTCATCATGGGTTATCGCCCACATGTTCACCATTGCGGTAGTACCAGCTGGGATGAAATGGTTGCCGACCTGAGTGTCATGGATGGCAAGCCTAGCCCAGGAGAGCAGAGGACCTGGAGGATGCATCCTGAGTGTTTCTTTCACTATGGCATGGAGGTAAGGCAAGTTAGGCAGGTCCGAATCAGTGATCATTCGCCTGTTTTCGCCAACACCAACCAGACTGTCAATTTCAGACTGAGCTTTGGATTGAATATCAGGATGCAGAACCATTCTCGCAAGAATCCATTCCAACAGGATTGCCACTGTGTCTGTTCCTCTGAAGATCATCTCCTGAAATTGTTAATAAATTATGATTAGTTTAAACTCTCATGAACTGGTGATGAAAAAACAAATGCACTAGTGTGACAAATGGAACAATAGGGAGAAGCAAACAGAAAAAGGGATAAGAGAACACATGATCATCACTAGACAAAAAGGAGGACACAATAGCAACACAAATTTATTCAGATTCCCATATCTTATCTTAGAATGGCCAAAAAGAGAAATTTCGAAAGATATATATTCCAGAATCCATAAACATGAAAACAAAAGATCAAATTTGTAATCAGGTCATATCATCATCATATAAGTATAAAAAGACAGGGAAGAAAAAAAAAAAAAAAGAGATGCCTGATAAAACGGACAGTCAAACAACACCCATCACAATACAAACAAAACATGACTGAACTGAAAATCAACCAGACACGATTTCTAATTAGTGCCCATAAACAACTAAAAAACGTACAGAGACATAAAGATTATGCATACAAATAAAGCAGAACATAATATTCTTTCCCCTACTCTTTAATAAAATAAGAATTGACCACTATCAATCATAACAGTATCTGTCATCATCAAATAAAGTAAAGTTAATTACAAGAACAAATGAACTTTTTTATGTAAAATTGTAAAGTAAGGAGTTCAGATGGGTAGAAAACAAAATTTACCCAGAGTACAGCAATCATGTCAGAATCACTGAGCTTGTTCTCCTTCTCCAAATCAAGAAGGACATCCACAAAGTCACCAGAAACCTCAATATCTTCATCGGCATCAATCTTCTCAGCTCTTTTCAGCCTGTGTTCCTCAATGATGTTCCCAACAAACACATTCACCTTAGCAACCAGTTCCCTGCACCTCTTCCTCACACCTTGCAAATCAAACCATCCCAAAATAGGGAAATGGTCAGTCCAGTTGAATATCCCAAGTAACTCATACCCTTCACTAACCAAGGATTCCAGCTGTTCAGCCCCTTCATCATCACCACCATGGGTGTTGAAGTCATAGCATTTCCCAAACACACTCATCATCACATTATTCAATGACCCAAAATGCAGGATTTTTTTCACCCCAACTTGGCCATTTCCCTCCATCACCCTCTTAATTTCCCCCACCATTTTCATCCCAACCTCTGTCCTGAACACCCCAGAGTGAGAAATCCTCTTAGGACTGAACAAATAAGTGGCTGAAATCCTCCTGAGGTTCCTCCAGTATTCGCCATAAGGAGCAAAGCCCATGGCCCTGTGAAACAAGAGCTCATAAGCAGACTCCTTAACAGGCCTATCAGCAAAAGCAGAGCTGTTAAGCACTTCTTTAGCAGTCTCAGGTGTGCTGGAAATGATGAAACGGGTGAACCCAACTGAGAAAGCCATTAAAGATTCAGCCTTTAAGCTCCTGGAAAGCTTTCCAAGAACCCTATGAGTTAGGGAGCCAGTGAAAGCAAAGACCAAACCCAAAAGGGGTAGCCCAGATGGGCCTGGAATGGCATTCCAGGCCTTGTTTTGAAAAGCACCAGACCTGGAGGCGGCGGCTGAAATCGCCCAAGCAAGTCCTCCAGGGGTAAGCCAGAAGGCGAAAACAGAGAGAAACAGGACAAGGCAGAGGAAAACCTCAAAATTGAGCACAGTTTGGGAGTAACCACTTAAAGGGATGAAGGAAAACAGGGATTCAGTAGACATTTTTGAAGACTGTTCTTCTGTTCTTTTGGGTTTTTTTTTTTTTTTTTTTTGAATTTTATTTGGCAGTTGAAGATGCAGTTTTGTATGGGAGAGGAGTTGGGGAGAAGAAGGTGGCAGGCAGTGAGGAGAGAATGAACGAACGGTTAAATAAATAGAGGGGTGGGTTGGGTTAAATTTGGACTGGGGTCACCCAACCATGGTTAATCAATTAAACCACTTCTAATTGTTTTTCCTTCACTGTGGTTAAATTAATTGCAATATACGAGAAGTCATTTCCAGAAACGCGCCTTTATACAATGGATTGTAGCCTAAAACTCTAAAAAAAAAATATTATTAGGAAGGTAAAAAGTTACGAGAAAATGTTCTGAAATTATATAAAGATTTTTAATTTTGATATGATGAAAAAATGGCATCAATATTTTGTTTTATGTGAAACAAAAACTTTTATATAGATTCTAATATGTGGTCGTATATAATATTAAGTAAATAAATGATGACCAAAATATGTATTCTTTCTGTTCGAAAATTATTGTCCATTTTGAAATTTTAATTTTAATACAATTTAAACTAGAAATAAAAACTCAAATTAGATAATTATGGGATGTAGGGAGTAAATAATTTAGTGAATAGCGATATCTGTTCATCTCGAACCTAAATTATGCACAGTTGATGTTACAATATGGTAGATTGTATCAGCTTGTAACTTAACGGAAACTTTATTTCAATTTGCTAGTCAAAACCAAATGAACTGGTAGCTATAAGATAAAATTGACACTTTTTTTAAACTAGTTGGTGAAAGTATGCGCATAAGGTGGTCAAAGTAAGGCCTTCATAAAGCCCTTTAGCAACAAAAAAATAAATAAATAAATAAATGAAGGAATTTTTTCATGAAAATGATTTTTTAAATTATGTGTTCCATTATTTTTGTAGAAGTACTCTTATAATGAGGCATATCACAAACTTGAATTTATAGTAACTTGTTATACATTTTCCAACTATATTTTTCTTGGGAAAAAATGGAGTGCGAGATAGTACCATGACATGATAGAGCGTAAACTAGTACCGGGAGTCTAAATTGCACGATGGCTATAAACAATATGCTTTCACTTCAGCATTAATCGTGGCTATTAAATAAAATTGCTTTTACTCAAACAAACAATTATGTAAAATTGATGAAGTTTTTTTTTTTTTTTTGAGGAGAAATTGGAAAGTCGTTATAGCTTAATCACGAAAACAATTTCATAGTATAAGAACATTTAGTTAACTTAATAATTATACTATTTCAATAATGAGACACAAAATTTTAGCCAATGATATTTCTCAAGTTTCATCTGTTAAATGTAAGTTATGTCACACTCAAAAGTTTAAAGTGCTATAAATAATTGATAATATTAATAACTAAGTAACAAAACGTAACAGTTAATAGGATTAATTAACATCAATTAATGCTTCTTCAAGATAAAGTTGAGTAAGTAACGTAACGGAACAATATCATGAATGATGAATAACAGATCATTGGTACATAAGAAGATTAAGGTAAATACTAAATAATACTATCATAAACAGATTTTCTTCCTTCCCAATGAAAGAATCACGCCTATGTTTAACCCGATCATAACCCATATTAATGGCATTCTCATAGATTATAATTTAGTTACTCAATAACAATGCTCGATCTTCAATCGTTTGGTTACCACAACTTGATATATATCCTACCGAAATACTTCAAAAATTATATTCTACCCGTCTCATATAAGTCACATTTGTTTACCTAAAATATACTCTCTCTGTTCCAAAATTATTGCCCAGTTTGAGATTTCACTTTTAGTCTAAATACTAAAAGTGAAATCTCAAATTGGACAATAATTATGGGACGGGGGGAGTATATGACTTTTGTTGGAGGAATATCAAACACAATAACAATGAAAACTCATATATATATCTATATTAAATTAGAACTACAGTCAACCAAACACACTAGATCAATGGCTCAAACTAGAGAGACCGTCCAAAAAAAAATAAAAAAAATACTAGAATGAATAATAAATAAATAAACAACCAAAGAAGCCAACCTTTCAACAAAATTAAACCCAAAATTGCAAATTTCTGTGGTATTTGGTCCATATATAGACTTTTTGAGTTTACAATTTTATTTTGATTTTACCTTAGAAATAAAAATGAAAGTATTAAAATTGTATGAATTTTACTCTATGTATAGTATATAGTAGAGCTAACCATATAGGCATTTAATAAGATTTTAGGTTGTTTTTAATAAAAATTGGTATGCTTCATGGGACCTCTCTATATGGAAAAAAGGAAAAAAAAAATGGAATGAGGAATCAACTTCGATATTTGGATGACCACTCTGGCCTCTAATCTTTTGGTAGGCAAATAAAAAATCTCCCACCAAAATTCCAAATCCAACCAACTTGGTTGTACTTTATTTTCTTTACATATTTAATTTTTTTTCAAGTAGGATCAAGGAATGTTTACCATTTGTACACCAAATGTACATATAATATTAGGTAAATGGGGGAATAGTAAATAATAAATGAACACAAGGAATTACCTTCTTTTTTTTTTTCTCATTCTTTAATTTCTTTTCATTTGTCAATTCAAAACCATTTACCCTTAATCACCTAGAAATTTGCACCACAACCTCAAAAAATAAAACATTAATTGTCACGTACTCTATGGTTTAGGGCATTAATCCAGACTCGAATTCGAAACCAATATCAATCTGAAATTTTGAAAATTGGAACAATTTAGATCAATTCGTTTATTACTGTGAAATTTTTAAACACCTTGTCACAATCAAGCATTAAACCAGAAAATCACAGCCGTTGAGATCTCTTTTCTCTGTCAATTTTATGGAGAGAAACAATAATAAATGATATTCCACCACCAAACAAGCTCAAGACAGAGCTCAAACAATGATTCTTGATTGGAATGGGGGTGTCTGGACCAACTAGCTAGCATCCAACAACATTACATATCTGAATTTAGCCAAAAAGAAGTTATCTTAACCAATTTTGACCAAATCTAATTTGGACAATTTTTGGTCCGACAATCACATGCCCCGATTGGATGCTTATCCTCATTTCTCACTTATATCACATTGTCACCTGTCCAAGTCTCTAATTTACACACACCTCATCAAAACAACAGCTCAAGCATCCTAACTATTGAGGGGAATTTTTGTTAGAATTTTTGGTGTTAGTGCATGGTCTTGTACACGATAGAAGTCATTAGTATAATAGTCATGCACGTTGATCCTTTTAGTGGGGTTATTGTTAAGAGATTAGAAACCTCATACACGTACCTCATGATTACGAAACTGACAATCAAATCGTGTATCGTGTCATTGGCATTCACGTGATATTTTTTAGAAAAAAATTATCATGTTGGTATCATATTACTTACAATATTAACTTTCATAATTAAGTGCGGATCAAGTTATGTATTTCTAATCACGTCACAAATTATTATCACTCGTTGGGGTCACCTAATAATGAAAATATTCTCATTAGACCATTAGTTCCTCCATTTGTTGTTTTGTTTTTTCACTTAATTGTGTGAAGGGGTAACCACTCTTAATTAACCATCAATTATTTTCCCATTGTGGAAGTTTGGATGTTAAACTTCTACCTCTGCGGTGCTGGAACTTTAAGTAGAACGTCGAAGTAAATAGTTAAACCAAAGGGCTAAGACAGTTAGTCAATTATATATGTCCTTTCGGATTGAATCAACCGTTATTCACGGAGTTAAATTAAAATAAGACGAGTTCATTTATCCCAAACAAAGAAAATTTTAAAAATAGACCAGTTAAAATGATGCATAACAATATGGTAAGAGACAATTAACATGTTCGAGATGGAAGTCTAGCTGCTATATTTAACAACAATTATTCAGTTAGGTAAAAAGAAGTTGGCCCTATTTACACAATACAGCCATAACCTACTATTATGGTTAGGTCAACTCATAGCTATTTCCTGCTTATGCATATCAAAGAATCAACAATTAATAGAAATTAGTCAAACCCATTTGATTAATTGGCTGGTAACTGATCAATTTTGGAGTATAATAAGGTGGAGGAGTAAATTGTTCAACTATGCAAATTTTATGGTGTCATTGTTTTTTAGTGAATCATGAATCGACTCACCCGTCAAGCCGTCAACGGGAGTATAATAAGGTGTTGGCCAATTGTCGAGGGGTGATCGGTAATTTTACTATACCATGAATGGAAAACATTTCGAGATCAATTTGGGAGGTAATTATCAAAATTCCAGCTACCCAATGCTATTCCTAGAAAATTATGCCTTCGTAAGAAAATAACGTTAACTAGTATAACATGGGGGAAGGTCTCCCAAATTAATCTTGGTTAGAATTACGAGTGTTGATGGTGATGGAGTAACTAATTACCAATGATTAAGCCTCAATTCATACAAACGTTGCAATTATCCCGCCCCCCTAATCAGGTCATTAATTTGCACATGGTTAGCAGAAAGGGTAAAAATAAAAATCAGCACTAACAAATCTTGAAACTAACAGAATCTTTATCTCCATTATGTAAGGTTAGGGAATAGCTACGTAGATAATCACAATATCACAAGTTTATCAAAACACGAAATGATAAACAAAAAGAACTCGAAATAGTACCATTTAATTTAATTTATTTTTTTTTTTTCTGTGAGCATGGTAAGTGTGTGGACATGTAAATTGCCTTTCTTTTACTGAACTGTAACAAACGAAAAACAGTTAGTATCTAAGGTACATTTAGCTTAGAAGAATGACAAGGTATCTCTTACCTTAAACCTGGATTATCAGTTGGAATCTCTGGCACAGAAGGCGGTAATGATCGGGTCTGAATGTCCGTTTGGATTAAGAGTTTGTTAGTTGTTAATGAGGACGTAACGCAAGTGTTGTTCCAGTCATTGAAGTATACCACTAACTGAGGTTAACTGTATACACGACGATTATTTTGGGACGGAAAAAGTACGTATATACATAAAAGGATATACGTACATAGGATATAGGCGTAGCTAAGTAGAGGAGAGCAGGGGGGAGTAATGAGGTGAAATAAATAGAGAGGTAGCGTGGACATGAAGCCAAA